ATATTTTTGAATAATGAGTGATATTAGTGGTATAAGTGATTTAAGTTTTGACGATTCAATCAATAATCCGGATTATAGAAATCCAAATTCACCGATCGAAGTTTCGGACTTTGAAAATATTTCCGAATACGAAGCAATATGTAGTAGCATACAAAATAAAAAAAAGCCGAATAATAGGACTTTTAATGTGGAATATGATGACGAAGTTCGTTTAATAGAAGCTTCGGATGAAGAGGACGACGTACAGGTTATTAAAGGTAAAAAAAAACTAAAAATTCTGAAAATTGGAAACGCAATAAGTGTAAGAATGCAAAGGCCTCTGGAGAAGAACATATCAGTTTGCGTGGTAAGTTAATTTTATCGAGGAAAATCGGACCAGATTGCAAATGTAAAAACAAATGTTTTATTAAAGTAAGTGATATAGAAAAGAATATAATGATAAATATGTTTAATACAATTGGCAATAAAGAGAAACAAGATACATATATTGAGGGTTTAATTAAATTAAATAGCGTAGCTAGGCGTTAACAGCAAACCTAAATCATGCAGTTGTATATATTTTATAAGAATTAAAGAAGTAGAAAAAAAAGTTTGTAAGAAAGCATTTTGTTCATTTTTGGGAATCGGGAAAAATTGGCATCAATTGGAATTAATAACCCACTGCTCTCATGGATAAACTAGTTTTTAATAAATCGCACTCAAATTGTAAAATATGAAAATTATTCCTCAGATATAATCAAGGTCTTATCTGGTCTTCCTCAAGGGGATCATTTATCTCTATTATTGTTTTCTTTGTTTATCAATGATATTGTAAAGGTTTTAAAACATTCAAAATGCCTATTACTTGCAGATGACACAAAACTTTTAAAAAAAATGAGTCTTTTGAAGATTCAAGAAACTTTTAAATCGATTTGGATAATTTTTATTTATGGTGCAAAAATGTCTCTTAATATTGATAAATGTTCTACTATATCATTCTCCCTAAAAAAAAAACAACTTTAAATTTTAATTATTCTATAAATAAACTATGTTTAACTAATAAAAACACCATAAAAGATTTAGGTGTTTTGTTTGATTCAAAACTATCTTTTAATAAGCATGTAGATTACATTCGTAATAAATCTTTTATGAAATTAGGCCTTTTAAAAGGTATGTGCATAAACTTTCATGATCATTCTGCCTTAAAAACTTTAAACTTTTCATTAGTTCGGTCTCAAATAGAATATGCCTCAATAATTTGGCATACAGATAATATCGGTCAAAATACGAGCCTTTCCTCAGTACAAAATAATTTTTTAAGATATCTATCTTTTAAATGTAATGTTGACCAAATTCTCCATTCGGTTTATGATCAAATTGGTGATTTTTTTAAAATTGTTTCGTTAAAAAATAGATATCTTACTTAAAATCTAAATTTTTTAATAAATTATTGCATAATTTGATTGATTGTCCTGAGCTTCTTTATCAATTAAATTTTAAAATAAACCCAATAAACTCTAGAAGGAAAGACACATTTTATTTGGTAAATACAAATCCTAAATATATGTTACATTGTCCTGCAGACATTTTAATGTCTGCAGGAAATTCTAATTTAGCTTTTGATTTGTTACATTAAATCATTCTTGTCTTTCTTTTTATTTGATATTTATTTTACTTTTCATTATTTCCTTATAATATAAAATAATCACCATGATCAATTACCCATCAAATACAATAACTTATCCATTCTTTATTTGTCATTACTTATTATTATTATTATTATTATTATTTATATCTTAACTAAATACTTACCTAAATATGTTATATTATATTTTTCTATAAATTATCTATATATTCTTAAATTGTTTTGTTTTGAAATTTATTCATACTTACAACTTTACACTCACTATATTATGTTAAAATATTTGTAATTGGAATTTTATTCCGTAATTAAAGAATTATTATTATTATTATTATTATTATTATTATTACTAAACTAAAATCAATTTAAAATCAATTTGATGAAGTAACCCTGTAGCTTCTACAGCACGATCTCCTTTTTCATATACTAATTTATTTAGTACAAGTAATGGACTAAGTGCTTTTTTCATTGTTAAACATGAAAATACTTGGGCTATCCATCGAGTTAAGCAAATACGTTTAAGTTCAACTTTTGGAGTTAATTTCATGGCATTTTGAATATCAATAAATTGAGCATGAATAGAAGAACCAGAAATAAATACATATAGTGTTTGAGCTACCGGCTATTCGCTAGCATTTGGCCGGGCAACTACTTTAAAAATGTGATGTTCAAAATTTGAATGGGATAGGTGACCGAGTATAAATATAAAAAAAATACGTTTAAATAGTAAATAATATATTTTAAAACACGATTAGTGTGCGTACGTCGGCCGGTGAAGACATCTCTTCCCGAGCGCGACTCGAAACAATAATAATAATTTAACTAATTTTAACCTCTTGATGCACACAATTTTTTTTCACCTCATATTTTTTTTTTTTCGTTATAATTTAGCTTCAATATAAAGAGAAAATTTAAAAAAAAATTTTTGGTACTCGTCTAATATGCTACCTACCCATAAAATGGTATCTACCAAAACACTGTATGCGTGTTGTATGCTACCTACCATAGTTATTTTTATTTTATTTCATTTTATTACAGGAAAGTACATTTGAGTCATTAAGATAAATAACATATTATAGCAGTTGTACAAAACTATATCTTAATAGCCATTATGATATCTGATCCACCAAGACTCATGATAACTTACTGTTAGATATATTATTTTAGTCTATATTGTATCTGTGTTGTGTTCGTGTAAGTATCCTATTCGTTGCGAGTTTTATTTTTTATTATAAAATGAATAAATCAATGCTCTATTTGTACGGGCATATAATATGTAATGAGAAAACATGTGTTAAATATCTTCAAGAGAGAAACTTGCTCCCAGAACTTGGTAGTTGTTCCAAATTAAATGTTGGTGTTATTTGTGGAGGTACGTTGAAAGAATATAAAAAAAATAATCGTAAAAGAAACTCAAATGGTGATTTATTAAAAACTACTTATTTACGATGTCAAAAAAAGGTTGTCAAACTTATCACTCTTTAAGAAAAAAAAATCCTTTTTTTACATATTACGATAAAAATGGTAAAAGTAATAGTGGTTTAGCGTTAAATGATATTGTTGAATTAGTATGGTATTGGGTGTATCAAATACCAGTTTCAATGACCGAAAAATTTATAACAAAAACTCGTAATACAATTGTAGATTGGAATAATTTATGTAGAGATGTAGCAGTTGCAATGTCTGATAAACGTAAGAAAATGGGTGGTCCAGGGAAAATTGTTCAAATTGACGAGTCACTATTTCAAGGCAAGCGTAAATATAATACGATTGAGACGATTGAGAAATGGAGATATAATTCCAAATGTAGATGACAATGTATCAAGTGATGCTGACGATATTGATGATGATCATTCGACTCAAAGAAATTATGGTACTCGCATTCAAGGTCCATGGATTTTTGGTATGTATTGTAAAAATGTTGATGGGGTTATAGAACGAAGATTTTTTAAAGCGGAAAAAAGAGATAAGGCAACTTTACTACCAATAATACAAAATGAAATAGAACTAGGATCAATTATTTATTCAGATCAATGGCGAGCATATAGTACCTTAAAAGTTATAGGTTATCATCACGAAACCGTCAATCATTCCGAGTTTTTTGTTGATCCTACAACGGGCGCCCAAACACAAACAATCGAGTGTATATGGAGACATGTTAAAACTAAATACGGAATTAAAACCCGAAGAGCGACAGATTTGTTAGACCGACAATTAATAGATGAATGGTGGCGGTCCGTTAATACCCAACACGATTTATTAGAAGTTTTCTGGAATGATATAAAAATAGTATATGATGTATAGTAATGTATAATGACGAATTGAAATATTATAAAAAAATAGAATATAATGTATAATAATGTATAATGACGTATTGAAATATTATGAATTACTTGACAACGGTAAATTAATAAATTATTTAGTAATAAATTGTTGTTAATTTGTTATTATTTTATGGTAGGTAGCTTATTTTACGGTAGGTAGCATACTACACCAACGAAGTAGCGGTAGGTAGCATATTAGACGAGTACCAAATTTTTAGTTTAAAAAATCATATGAAAATGAGAAATTTATCAAATGGCGTCATATGTTATGCGTGTAAGGTTTATTTTGATACCAATAAAATAATATTCAAATATCTATATAACTTTTATTTATTTCTTATATTATTATCACTTAATAAATTGAGAACATTCTATTATTAGTTTATAATTAACAAGCAGTAACAATCAAATTATTTTTAAAACAACTTATTTACTAATTGTTTTTTATTTCATAAAATAACAAGTTTATACTTTTAGAGATCATAAGTTCATGTAACTGATCACTTTGAAATTATCACAATTGTTATACAAAATGTTTTCTAACTTCTGATATAAAGAACTTATAATTTTATTTTAATTAAAATATTTAATTTTTATATTTCATTTCTTTGTAATAAAAAATAAAAATAAAAATTAACAAAAACTTAACTATATTTATTACCCTTATTTTATTTTTGAGAGTGGAAATGTTCCATGCATTCTGGGCATACAGGCTCGTCACATTTTGAACATTTATAACGAGTACGACTTCTACACAAATTATCATGGCACCTTAGAGCTCTCTTTTTTTCATATTTTTTCGGCCAATGATTTTGTCCATCATTACGAATTTCCTGAATACTTTTATTTTGTCTTTCTTTGGTTTCTTTTTTTAGTAGAACTGGAGAGGGTGAGGCACATGGTGAATTCGAAGGTCGTCCTCTTTTTTGTAAGACGATCAGATGTAGAATTTAACTGAGTCAAACTAGTTGCTATTGAAGCTTTAAAACGTAACAGTGATAAAGGGGGGTTTTGACTTTGTCTATATAAAATCCATGAGTTCACAATCGCAATATTCAAAAATCGAAAAAATATTCGAAGGTACCATTTATTGTTTTTAAAGCCGTGAGGATAGTGAGATATAAGACGATCCATGAAATCCACACCTCCCAAACATTTGTTGTATTCTTGAATACAAAACGTTCTAGTAATTGGTATCTTTGTTTTTCTTTCTTGTCGTAACGTAATATTTCATCAAATGGTTCTGCGCCAGCATACGAAGAAATCATATGAACTTCTCTTTTATCTATCCAGCGCAGAACTGTTATATTGTCTTTTGACGTATCCAGTGTACAAGAACCTCGTTGAAGCATTTTACCTGGTACTATAGAAGTTTGTATTTGACCAATTCTATTAATTCTGACCGTTCCTATAACCCATATACTCAAGAAACGTAATTGTCTTATAAGTGGCAATGAAGTAAAAAGATTGTCCATGAACAACTTATGATTTTTACCATGCAATGCATGACATAAGTTCAGAACAGAATCACCTATTGGACCATATTTGCTTCGATCTTGAATAGATGCTTGATATGGTTCGAAACAGTTGACGTATCTATTGCTATTTGCTTGTACCCATATTTTAAACCCCCACTTTTTCGGTTTTGATTGAATGTATTGTTTTAAATTACTTTTACCTTTAAAAGGTATCATCATCTCATTAGTAGAAATATTTTCAGAGGGGACGCACAATCATGAATTGTTTTATGTAGTATTTCAAGAACCGGACGAATTTTCTAATAACGATCATTTAAATTTGAAGCATTTAAGTTATTTGTAAAATGTAAATAACGTTTAATTTCACTAAATCGATTAACGGACATAACATTTGCAATTTGATCCATTCTTAGACCAGGCTCACTTGACCAATACATTCTAGTGTTTGGATACTTTATATACGTCATAATAATATTAATACCAATAAAAGCTTTTATTTCATTTTCAGAAACATAATATGAAAAATTACCAATTTGAGCTGCATATTGACAACTTTCGTTAGCAATAAGTTCAAAAATAGAATCTGGAAAAAGTTGAATAAAATAGCCATTCGATGTAAATGCTTGAATTTAATTTAATTCACCTTTAAACTTAGTAATGTTTCCTACATAATTATTGTCTTTACCGGGGTACCATTTCTCAGGTTGTTTTTTGGTTTTTAATTTTTTTACAAGAACATGATCGGTTTTTTTTATCGTAGTTACTTTATTTGTTTGCTGATGTTTTTTATTTATTTTATATCCACGTAGTAATCTTTTATGATTTTGTTTTACTATTTTATTGTTATTACTCGCTATTTCTGTACTTGCAAACGGTTCATCAATATTAAGGACATTTTGTTTATTTTCGACTTTTTTAAAAGATCGTTCAAATGCCTCTTTGAATACCTGATAATTTTGTGCATCTTTGTCATATTCATTCATTAACTACTTCTTCGTGATCAAAACACAAATCATCAGATAAATAATCGTTATTTAGATTTTGATTACCAGCAAATAAATTTTCATCCGTAATTTCTACATCGTCATCACTTAAATCACTAAATTCGGATCCACTTGGTGGAGCACAGGCCAAAAACCGTTCAATATCAACATCTTTTAATTTTTTAAACGCCATTCTAAAGAAATAAATATAATGAGAAAAAAAAATTTCATAGGCAACTACGCAAAACATAGTTATTGAATCATTCCGAACCTGCACAGTGGCACATACAATGCCGGCTAAATAATACAATATTGTAGCTATACAAACGTTTATTTCTTATAAACTTATAATTACTAGAGTTAAATAGTTTTTAATAATTAAAATAAAAAATGTTTGGACCTCTTATCTATTAAATTACCAAAGTAATAATATTTCGAAAAATACAAAATAATGATAATACGGAACCTTCGAGTATCAATAATTCAAAACTTACAATAAATTGTGATAACAAAATAGCGGGTGACCGAATGATATTATTTTATCACACTTATATATTTACAGTGTGATCAACAGAAAAAATCATGTGTTAACGATATCGAGAACGCATAAATATATGATTTTAGTTGATGGCATCATATGTGCCAAGATGCATTTTGAGGTTAATGATTCCAGATTATCGGATGACACATACGCTGCGGCGGGGCAGGGTGTCGGCGACGACGGTGACTGCAATCAGCTGTGGCTGCGACAATGTCGTTGGTACGCAGGTGAACGGGGGTTGGCAGCAGCGACGATAACAACGGCGACGTTACGTAATGTATCGAACGTGCGTGACACCGAAGAGCGAAACAAGTTGCAATTCGCGACTAATAATAATAACAGTAATACGCGATCGAAATAACAATAAATTATGCAACGGATTAAAACAATGATTGCAACCACACCATAATGCGTTCGCTAACACGACACTAAAAAACGGCCCGACGTGACCAACGCACGGTCTGCTCGCATGGAAAGTACGGCAAAAACAGACCCGGTTCAAAAGTCGCCGGTGGTGACCAGTGTTGCCAGGTTTTGAAACTAAGATTATCGTACAAAGTCTTCAAAATTACCGTAATTTACATTCAATTACCGTACATGAAAAATTTAAGTTTTCCCAAATTATTCCCATATTACATCCACACGCGCATGCACGCACCAATTTATATAATAATTGAAAATACTGATAAAATACTTGATAAAACTATATTTTAAAATCAAAACAACTTATTCGATACAGTGAAACTCTAAAAAAGTGAATAAAATATTAACATTAAAACTTTTTGAAGTTAAGTGGTGAAATTAAAAAATTAGCAATTTAAAAAGAAAAACAATAAAACAAATAACTATAACAATTAAGTTAATGATTTTCAACATACACATTAAATACTTATATTACAAATTAAAACTTAAAACTTAAAATTATCATCAATAATTGTGCTAGTGACTGGATATAAATTTGAGGTAGTCATAAAACTCAGCATATTTTTTGGTGGTATGAAAGTCACATCAGTTAATTTTTCAGAAATTTATACTTGATGCCTTTTCTCAAGGTTTTCAAGTTGATGTTATTTTTACAGATTTCTCTAAAGCCTTTGATAAAGTCGATCACCAAATTCTTATCTCTAAACTCCGTACTATTGGTATGAATGACCCCTTTCTTTCTTGGATTTATTCTTATATTTCCGATAGAAAACAAATAGTCAAGTGTAAAAACTTTAAATCGATTCCTTTTACTGTATCATCTGGTGTTCCTCAAGGTTCTCACCTTGCTCCAATTCTATTTCTATTATTTATAAATGATTTAAATTTGTTTTATTCTAGAAAATTACTATTCGCCGACGATATGAAATTGTTCCGTCTCATAAAAAACAGTAATGATACATCTTTATTACAAGATGATTTAAGTTTTTTAGCTAATTGGTGTGATATTAATAAATTACCTTTAAACTACGAAAAATGCAAAGTTATGTCCTTCACGCGATCTCGTAATCCAATTCTTCACACTTATAGTTTACGTAACCACCATTTACATCGTGTAAATGAATTTTGTGATCTTGGTGTCATATTCGAGTCTAATTTAACCTTTAATCACCACATTCAACATATTATCAATAAATCATCTTCGATATTAGGCTTTATTACGAGAAACTGTAAAGACTTCAATAACCATAACACATTAAAAATTCTATTTATGTCCTTAGTTAGATCTAAGCTTGAATATAATTCAACAGTTTGGTCTCCTTATTTAAACACGCAAATTCAATGCATTGAGAATGTCCAAAATCGCTTTCTCCGTTTTATGTCCTATAAATGTAATATTATACGTGTACCTCACTCATCTTATCAACCTTTGTTGAACACATTTAACATCCAGAGCTTAGCAAACAGAAGAAAGGTAAATGATCTATTATTTTTGTTCAAACTGCTAAACGGTTTTTTCTTCTGTCCGGAGCTATTAAGTTTTTTAAATTTTTCTGTTCCTCAAGTCAGAACTAGATCATCAATCATAAGTACTTTTTATATAAATAATCACAAAACTAATTATGCGTTATCCGCTCCTATAAATAGAATGATGGCTATCGCTAATGATGAACAAATTGATTTTTTTAATTTCAGTCCAAATTCTGTCGATTTTTTCAATAGTTTTGTAAGAAAAAAAATTGTTTAGATTTATTTCTGATATTAATTTTTGAGTTGTACTGTATTGAGTTTTCGTATTTTGAGTATTTTGTCCAATTGTTATTTTTACTATATTTCTGTGTTTTTTGTATTATTAGAATATTAAGTATCTTAGTTATTCATTAATTTATTTTTTCAAATGTTATTTACCTATCAAATGTTTTACCATACCTATATGTATTATGTACTAAATTTCAATCCTTATGTAATTGGGTTATTACCCGTAAATAAATAAATAAAAACAAAAAAACAAACAAAACAAGTACCTTGACTATTACTGGAGTTAGAAATCAACTGACTAGTTAATACTGTCGCAGCAATAGTTTCACTGATCAGCCGGTTTCTTGATTTAGTTTTAACTCTGTTAATTTTACTAAATAAACGCTCACAGTCCGCATTTGAGTGGGGCAATGATAAGACTTTTAAAGCAAAGGAAGAAAGAACATTCAGGGTCATCAGAATCTGAATCTTTAAACACAGCAACTTTTGCCCAAAATTTGTCTGGTTCAATTTCTGTGTTGATATTTATTGAAAAATGTGTTAATGGCAACTTCCTCCACTGATTATCCAGTTCTTGTAAAAATATTTCATCATCACCAGCAATTCTTTTGATCTTTGATGCTAAACTTAATATACTGGGATATTTAGATCTCATTTCCATCGACAAGGCAGTTTTTGGACTTAAAATGTTTAAAATGGGCAAAAGGGTATCATCAAAATAAAACCTTTTTTTTTAATTCTAGACAACTTGTTCTTTAAAAGTCTAAACACTTTTCAAAAAAGTGTTGAATCAATTTGGGTTTTTTTCTAATAGTTTCTATCGCCATATAGTTTTTAACTTTAACACCTAAATAAATGTTAGAGTTTTTTAGGGTTTTTTCTTTATTATTTGGATTGATGTCTATTAATGGTGTTTTCATTACATATTGTTGATCCAGAAAACATAAAAGAATTTCTCTGTATGTGTTGGTCATTTTTTCATGAATAACTGGTAAAATAACCTTATTGGTTTGAAAATATTTATTAAGCAGTGTAAATTTGGGTAAAATAAATTCTAAAAATAAGTAAAATAATTTAGTAAAAGGATTATTTAGTTGAATATGAATAAATTCAGCAGCCAGTAATTTTTCATCAAAATACAACCTAAGGGCTTCCCACTGTTCTAAAATACGGGTGACAACAGTTGTTAGTGAAAGCCAGCGAGTCTGAGATGGATGGAGAATCTTATGAATTTTTACTTCGACAAATGCTTGGAACTGAACAAAATCACTTTGCCTTTTAGCACTATGACTAAAAAAAGAATAGACATTTCTCGCCAAGTCTTCACAGCTGCGAGGCAATTTCTTACAGGCTTCACTAGCCACTAAATGCAAACTATGGCATATACATTTCATAGTATATATACCTGGAAAACGTGCATAAAACCGACCAACTACTGAATTATTTTTGCCGAACATAGCATTGCAACCATCAGAACTAAAACCGATGACATTACTATCTGGAATATTAAATTTTTCAAAACTTTTCATAACAGAATTAAATAAATTGTTTGCTGTTGCTCCTGAATTTGGATTTTTTATGTCATGTACTTGCACCAAATCTCAAAATCTGCTTACAATTTGTCCAACTTCACTATCAAAAAATCGAACAATTATACCTAATGTTGACTCGCTGGCTATATCTGTTGATTCGTCTATTAATATTGGAAATTGATTTTGCTTAAGTTTGTATGCAAGATTTTCTTTTGCACATGGTGTAATAACGTTTTTAATAATACTTGTAGCCTTGGTTCTCTTGAGCTTTATTTTTTGACAAATTTTTGAGTCTGGGAATATACTTTTTAAAAGACCTTCTAAATGTTCTATACTGTTAAAAGAGATATTATGTTCAGCTAAATATCCAGTCAATTTGATTTCTGCAATTTTTACATCTTTGTCTAAATCATCCTTTTCAAAACTTGTAAAATTGGTCATCATTAATGTTGACTTGGGAGGAGCACTTTTTATTAAATTTAAATGTTTAGTGCCTTTACTATAGTATTTAATAGTACTTAATTCAGACACAAATGTTACATTGCACTTGATACATTTGGCTTTGAAATTATTATTTTCAACTGGTTTTAACCAACCTTTGAATTCTTGTATGGATTCCCAGTGAGACCTATACTTTTGTTTTCTATGCTTGTGATGACCAATAGTTTCAGAGTTTGATAAAGTTTCCATCGAACTTGATTCAATATCACTCTCTTTAATCTAATAAATTAATTTTTTATTAATTAATTTTATTTAATAAATTATTTTAAATTCAATAAATTTATAAAAATTCAATGAATGCAATATGTACATTTTTTTATGGTATAATCATTATCAACTTTTGATTTTCAAATGGCAACCTATACTTTAAACAAAAATGTTTTAAAATTCTTAAATCTTTTAAGAAAAATTTGTTTAAAATACTGTCAAGAATGCTTGTTATAGCTCAACAAATAAATTTAAAAAAAAAAGTCCTAAGTACTGAACTAAGAAGTATAAAAACTAATAATACTTAAAACATCAAAGTTAAAATAAAGTTTTCCAAAAATTGTCTATACCTAGGTACTCTCAAATATTTAATAAATTAAATTAGCAATACTACTTTATGAAATTACTGACTATTTTTTTTATACTGAGTATTTGGTTTTGTACCTGTGTAGAGTTTTGAATATTAAAATCGGTAGTTGATATATCATGTGAACTTGATTGCTGTGTTGTTATACTTTCCTAAAGTAATATATATATTTTTCCAATGGACTGATAATATTAAATTTTAAAGCACTCCAATGAGAATTGTTTAACTTACTACTAATGATTTTTTTTTCTTTAATACTGGTGATGGATCATCTTCAGAATCTGAATTATTTGACTGAGAAAAAAAGAAAAATTAGGTTTACTTCGTTGAAATCAGAATGATTCAAAACGTATTCAAGTATAAGAATTATGTTTCTATTACACTCCCATCGAAATAAGCATTTGCTACAAAATCAAAGCCCTAGGTATTAGCTAGTGATAGCTTACTTTAGTAATTTTTAATAAATATTTTTTCATTTTATAGATTTAAGTAGTATAAAATATATACAATTTCAATGAATATATATTTATTAAATAATAATTTAATGTCAATGGTAATTTATAACTTTTAACCCTTCAATGCGCGATTTTTTTTTCTTTCAAAAAAAAATGTTTTTAAACTAAACTATGTGCCAGGAATTCGGAAAAAATATTAAAAAAATTCTCAAATTGTTTTTTAACTTAAATCGAGCTATTTTAATTTGTTGCTTCTAAGCAACACTGCGCGTGAATGCTTATGAAAAAAAACTAATAACATTGTAAATAAAACATTTATTTTGTAAAAACACGTCATTAACTTTTTTGATTTTTATCCTATTCAATGTAATTAACATAGTAAATTATAAAATATAATATTATAAAAACAAATACATTACCTATATGAAAAATATGTTTAAAAACAAAATAATATAAAATTTACCTTTATTTTATTTTAAATTAAGCAATCAAAAAACTAAAATTTTCCTCTTGTAGAAACTGAGCACTTAATAATATTTTTATTTTTTTTTTTTTACTAAAAATTTTAAACATAAACCATATTTTATAACATGAGAATAATAATAAGAATTACATAGTTGAAAAATATTTATTCATGTCACATGATAGTCTTCAAAACACTGCTTATCTTTGGTTTGACATAAATATTGCTTACACTTAGAACACATCCAAAATGTAGTACCAGTACAGTGGGGAATTTTACATCGCCCTTTTTTATCCTGGAATCTCGGCCAATGTCCTAACATATCTTTCCTTACATCCTTTGGTGTAGAAGTAGTAGGTCTTCTTTTTTTTACATTTTGAAGTTCTGCTTCAAGCAATGAAGGACGCCCACGACTCTTTCTTATAACACCTGTTTTGGTTAAACAAAATGCCAATTCTTTTCTCCAATCCGCTAATGTGTACTTCACAGGTTCCATTTTTTCTTCTTTTACTCGTTTATATAATAGCCACGAATTGACTGTAGTCAAATCAAGTAAATGGTAAAATAATCGTACAAACCATTTTCGAGATCTCATTTGAATTTTGTTTCGACCAATTAAGCTATCCAATGTGTCCACACCTCCCATAAATCGGTTATATTCCTTTATTATAAAAGGACATTCAACTGTCGTTTTGGTTTTAGATTTTTTATCAAAACGTTCAATTGATGATTTAGGTTCAATACCACAGTATGTTGACATTAAAGTTACTAATTTATTATCTTTCCATACTACGTTACTTAACGGAGCTTCTTTGTAAGATGTTATATATTCATATGCCGTACCACGTATTTGTTTTTTAAAAAACTTTTCATCAGGTAATCTACAATTAGGAATTCCATTACGTCTTATAGTACCTACACTCAATATTCCTTTTTGATATAAGGCTGCCATTAGAGGAATGCTTGTGTAATAGTTATCAAAATAAACTCTATAATTTGCATTAGTAGGAACTTCACGAGTCAACCTTATCACTACATTGGCACTAGAGCCTAAATCTTCCTCATTTTGTAATCGAAATCTTTCTTGATTTAAATTTCAAATTTGTAAGAAAATCCTTTGTAGTCACTAAGCACATACAATTTAAACCCCCACTTATGAGGCTTCATCGGAAGGTATTGCTTTAAATAATTTCTGGTTTTGGTAGCACATAGCTGTTCATCAAGTGCTAAGTCTCTACGATACGGAATGCTACTAAATTTAGCATTTAGATAGTCACCTAATGGTCTAATTTTGTGTAACCTATCATGATTTACATGGTCTTTGGGAAACATTTTCTCATTATTGTTAAAATGCAAAAACTGTCTAATTTGCTCAAATCTCTTTTGGGTCATTGCTTCATAAATTGGAGAGAAACCCAAATAATCACTCCAATAATCCCTCACATTTGGTACATGGCACACTGAAGCATATAAACAAATACCTACAAACCTTTTTAGTTCAACAATAGATACACTGTATGGTTTGTTTGGATTTTTTTGAGTTGAATATAGCTCAGATTCAGTTTTAATTTTGTCAAATAATTCATTAGTGAAAAAATATGAAAAAAATTGCAGAGGTGATTCGAAATTTAAAATATTAGTAGGCAAAGTAACTGGACTGTGTACTAGACTGATGTCATTGGTTATTAGGTTACCTTTCTTCCACTTCAAGTTAACTGGTTTTTGAGTATGTTGGACTCTAACTCTAGGAATATGTGTATTGGTAGGAACAGGATAATTAATACTAGGAGGTGGCACTGGTCCCTGAGAAGTTTGAGGTTTTGAAATAGTAGAAACAAGATGACTAGTTATATTAGTTGAATCTATATAAGATCTCAAAGATCTACTATTATGTGACAATGTATTTTTATTGATACTGTTGTACCCTGTAGACTACATGTCGTTTATACGACACCCGGTAGTATCAATGTATATTTTTTTTCTTGTAATAAAGTGGCCTACGTAACCAGCGAGCCATCGGCATTTGCTTGATCAGCGAATCCCACGACTCGGCGGAAACGCTGGGTTGTTTGTCACAATGCTCGAGCAGTCAAGTAATGACCACTACAGAGCATCAACGCGTGTCAGAGTATCTTTTAATATTTTATAATTGTAGTATTTCATTATTTTATTATTGCATTATTTCTTTATTCCATTTTAAATAGTCCATAGTTCATTTTAATTATAATAAAGTGCTACTTCTTTAAAACAACTCTCCTTTTATTTATCACCTTCACCACAAAAGGTACCATCACATCATTTTTTTTTTTTTTTTTTTTTACATTTAAATTTATCTTTCACAAGCAGTGGCAAAAATGGTGGAAAGTACACTAGGAGCTTCCAGATAGACACAGACAAAAGGCCATTGGACCTTCACTTTAATCTTTTGCTGGTTCCTACACTGTGATCAGAGTCCTCGTCACTCCTATCTTCACCTTGTCTCTTGAGACCACCAAAGGCACTGTAATTGGTATTATCTTTTTGCTCAGCATTATAAGATCTTATTTGCCTCGTAATGGTTTTCTCTGTTTGTATGTCTACTTCTGGATCCTTTGTGGCAACAAATACTCTTCCTCCCCAGTGTACTTGACATTTAAATCCATCAAATATGTTTGGGTAATCCCTAGCAAGCTGAGAGACACTTATCATTGGTAGAGAGTTGTCTACATCAGTTGACAATTTGAACCCCTTTAAGAAACCATGTAGCAAGCCACCTGTATCTACATTCTTGTTGCCTATTGTCTCACACTTAGTATTCAACAAATAATATTCATTATCTTTCTTGTCATATCTTAAGGCCCCAGAATCAAATGTGAGGTCAATGTGTCCACCTATAGAATTTCGGTCACGTTGACTTGCAGGAAAGTTTTTGTTAAAGCACATTTCTAACTCTCCCAATTCTATTTTTAATAAGTTTTCAGCTCTGTCTACTCATTGCCGATACGTTCCAAAAACTCTCCCGATTTTAGCTTCCATTGCCTTTTCTATCAACCACTTCACCTCCTCTGTCATTTTACCTCAAAAACGTCTTCATTGTTTTGATATCCCGTTTGAAGCTCTCACATTTATTTCTCGAGTTCATATATTACTACTTTTTAAGGATTGCAAATATAATAGCGATAGAGTCAATATGCCTTCTTTCTCTGTCAATCACATCTTCAATGAATTTATAAAATTAAATTTCCATAATTACTGTTTGGTTTATACTAATGGCTCAGTGTCAACCAACTCTGCAGGTTTCTCATTCTTTATCCCTGAAAGGATGGTCAAATACTCCGATACCTTACCCCAGGTTGTTTGTTCTTTTACGGCAGAGTGCTATGCGATTGCGACAGCTCTTGGATATATCAAATCTTTAAACATTACAAAATGCTTGATTGTCTCGGATTCCCAAGCAGCTCTTTGCGCTATTAATTCTACCTCAATTTCTGCGGCCACGTCTCCCCTTATTCTTAAAATCAAAGCTTCGCTTTTTGAATTATACTCTCAGGATATAATAATCGAATTCTTGTGGGTCCCAGGCCATTCGGGAATCTCAGGCAATGAAGTTGCTAATATCCTAGCCTCATCCACCAAATATAGCTTAAACACATCTGTGCGTAAAATCCCATCCTCGGATCTTTTTAATATTTTACAAAATAATTACAAACAGGCTTGGCAAGATAGATGGTCATCAGTGGCTCCTGATTTCGCTAAGTGGTATAGATCCATAACCCCCACTATTCCACGACACCCATGGTTTATTAACCAGCCCCTTGACAGGTCCCAAATCGTCCGATTCACCAGGCTCAGACTTGGTCACAATTTACTTCCCGCACATGCCTTCCACCTCGACTTGAACTACTCCCCGTTGTGCACTCGTCATGCAGAAGAATCAATCTGCGACTTCTCACACATTCTCGCCGATTGTTCAGCACTCTCCATTTCCCGATCTAAATTGCTTCGTTTTTTACATAATAATAATATTATGTCTTTAGAACCTACAGTTATCCTTAATTATTTTTCAAGAGCCATTATCATTTTTATTTTGAAATTCTTCGAAAATGCTGGATTCTCTATTTGATTATATTGATTTTAATCTGTTTTTTTTGTCGTTCTTTTTTTTTTTTTTTTTCTTTTGCTTGTTTTTGTTTTGTTGTTGTAGGTTTAAGTTTGTTAACTTTCTAACCTCTGATTGTTTTCTTTTTCTTTTTTTTTTTTTTGTCATTATATATTCTTTTTAGGCCTATTTATATCTTGTATTATTAGTTGTTAACATATCTTTAGCTGTAATGGTTAAGCTGTAATAATTTTATATTGGTAGCTTAAATAAAAAAAAAAAAAAAAGAAAAAAAAGTAAAACGATTAACACAGATCTCAACCAATCAATGGAAAACAATGTTTCTAGTTTCTTTTCAAAATTCATTTAGTAAAAGGGCATTTTCATGTGTAAAACATATTCTATAATTATTCACTTTATATTGTACCTATTACATTTGATTATAAATTATAATATTTGTATTGTCTATGGTTTAAAAGTAAATAAAAAAAAATTTAGTGAACATACATGTATGTATTTTTTTAATACTTTGTAGATAGCCTCACAGGTTTCCGGAATTATTTTGCAGAGAGCTGGTTTAGAAATGGCAGTTAAAAATTCCATGTCCTTAAAGCTTCTTCCGGTAGCAAGGAATCGTAAGGTAGCTGAGAGTCTCTCGTGTGGAGATATGGCTTTTCTCATAACAGTGTCTTTTTTTACGATAAACGGAGAAACTAACTTTAACAACTCAACATAAGTCTCTTCATCCATTCTCAAATAATTTCGCCAGTCATTGGGTTCATTTCATAATTTTCGCAATAAGTTTATATGAGAAAATTCCCTTTTCTTCAGCAACCATTTGCGGCTCCACTTTCTTCTTAGTCTTCGTGACTGTTTTGCTTTTTTCGCTAAACAAACTAGATAACGACCACAACAGTATTTCCTCCATGGCGAAAGCTAATGGCCAACTGAGTTGTGATGAACCGTGGTCGACAAAGAATATTGGACAAGAAATCGTAGCGTGTAAACAATATTCACTATTTCGATAAATTGGTACAATAAAAACGACGATAAATTGTCAATTACATTGTAACGATTTATTGTTACGTGTAAACCCGGCTTTAGTATAACGTAGTATGAACACGGTTTACCATCATAATATAATAAACTCATGAACCCTTGAATTATAAAAATACGAGTATCTAAAATTCAAACAATTTAATAATGTAAAATTAAGTATTAAGTATTTAATATAATATATATGTATCACTTTATTATAGATATTAGATATGCATTTGTTATTTGGTGTTCGACGATTGCTGTTATAATTTAATAATAGAAATATTATTTGAATAAGAGAAGGAGATGTCCGTGTACGCGTACCTATCGATCAAGTCCATAGGGCATAGACCCGAAACTAAAATTATGTGCAGTACACTATAGTAGATACTAAACACACTATATAATGTAATAAATTGTAATACTATTTCTTCTTAATTTTAATTTGGATTCATTAATTTATATACATGATAAAAACATTTTGAGTGCTTCATATATTAATGTGTGTAGTTCAAAAATATATATTTAAGCCTCCACTACAGACTATGAGTGAAAAATTAATTTAACGGTCACCAAGAGGACCAGAATAAATGACCGCTATAGAGAGGTAGTATCGTCCCCAATAGAGTTAATAAATTTCTAATATTAAAATAACACTCGATACATTCGAAGAGACCAATATAATATATAGACAAAGTTGTGGTAATAAATAATTAAAAGTAAAATGTAAATCACATAACATATTATTCTAATTATTTAGGTCGTATAGTATCTATAACGTCGCCTGTTAAACATTATTAAAATAATTCCTGTATAATATTTTAAGCAAATATTTTTAAAATCACATTTATTCAAAATTTCTAAAATAATAAACATAAAATGTTATAGTAACGGTTAAACTATAAGAATTAAAACTGAATATTATGGTAACGTTTAAAAAACGTTCTTCATATAATAATATAAAATAAATGTTTCTACAATAATAAGACAACATTTATATCAAAATGTTTAACATCATTTAATATACAATGTTACTTACTATAATATCAACATTACTAAATTGCTGTCTGAGATTCCTCTATCTGCAGATACCTTAAAATCTAAATTGTAATAAAACTTGATTTTTACTTACCAATTTCTGATGAACTTGACGACTTTGAAGAATAATGTGGTAATTCAATTTCTTTTTTCTCTTTTTTTGATTTTTTAAAATTACTATACCTGCAGGAATCAGATTCTTTATTTATCAGTTTATTCCTTTTTTTTCTACTACTACGTTCATACTCAGAAAGGTCTGATGTTATGATAGTAGTTTTTGCTTTATTTTTAGCTTTTATTAGTGATACTATAAAATAATAAAAATACTTAATTATAATATCTATATATTTATATATTTCTAATTTTAAACTAACTAATATTATTTTTTAGCTCTCTAGCATCAAATATATCAAAATCATTTGTATTATAAGGAGACTTTCTGCTTATAAGTTTATTTACACTAGACGTTGAATGCAACGGTTTAGGCCATGCACATTTACCATTGAAGTACCAAATTGATGGAACTGCAGATACTGAATTTTCTTTTGTAAATAAAACGATTGAATACACCATTTTTTCCCTTTGATAATAACAACTTCTAAAGTACACAATTGAATTAATACTATGTACAATTAATTATTAATACAAATTATAAACAAAAACTTATTTAATAAATAGTAAATATACATTTTATATTTATTAAATTAAATTATTGAACAAGTAGAAAAAATAATAATAATAATAATAATAATAATAAAATATACGTTTATACAAAGTAACAATATAGGAGTATTTTTTGTATATCGTTTTATTTTGAGAACAAAAAAGAAATTAGTTATCTGTGTGTAAAATAGGCATTACAATGTCCGTTATAGGAAGAAAAAATGATATACTTTTTAACAACATGATTTGTACTATAAAATGTGAAATCGTCAGAGAGTCTATTTAAAATAAAAATATCTAATTTGCTAGATTTAATAGGTTTTTCAAAAAATACTTTTTTTTTAGTAAATACTTTTCCTACAATTACAATTTGTTCAGTAATTGTATCTGTTATAATATTAAATACTTTAACTATATCATTATTAGCTGTACCAAAATAACTATCAGATTCCTTATGAATTTTAAGGGTTATTAATTTATTAGTTAAAATTAGAGTTTTATATTGATATCCTCCAGAAAGTGTAGATGGTAAAGGGCCATTATTATGTTGAAATTTTAAAATTGTACCACTTTCTACTTGATTTGTATAGGATTTAAAACTGGTATTAATTTCATTTCTTTGTATCGTTTTACAATTTGTTCCAATGGTTTTTCATGTTTTCTTAACAAAACCTTAAATGTTTTCATGAAATTTTCAAAAGGAAAGCAACTGACATTTTCTAATGGACCAAACAATTTATAATCCTGACACAAATGTAATAATCCGTGTACATTATGAGAAATTAAATGTTTCCCATAAATTACTTCAAAAGATTTTACAAAATAGTTTAAAAGATCTTGAGCAAATTGTAAATATGTACCTAGATTAGAACTAATTAATATTACCATGGCAATATGAAAACTCATAAAATTTGTATAACATCTTTCAGACAAACAATTTTTAAACACCAACGGACCAGTATAAAGTAATAGTTGACGAAGTTCTGTTGCTTTTCAACGACAAATTTCTTCCAAATCTCTAGGTTTTCTACTAAACTCTATTGGAATATGATTTTTTATAGAACGTAAATTAGATGAAATTTGTTTTACCTTAGAGTTTGGAAGA